TGAATTTAGATTTGCATTATCTACACAAGTTAACCATATTCTATTATATATATTCCAGTAAGAAAATACTCATTTGAATGAAAATGACAAGAAAGGACTAAACTTCAATTAGAAGAAGACTGAATACAGGGTTGTCAGCAAAAGAAACAGCCCAATATGTGAACTACAAACTGGAGATACCAAAAACAAGTGCAAATATCTTGGAAGGGTTTTAACAGAGGACAGAAAATGTGATACTGAATTCTGAAGGTGCATTGAAATAGTGAAATAAGCCATCCTAAGCTAAGCAAAGTATTAAGAAAAAGGAAAATTTAATTCAAAAACAAGGAAAAGAATACTGAACTGTTATGTAGTATTGGTCCTCCTATATGGCAGTGATTGTTGTGTCATCTCCTCTCAGATGAAGAAGAGACTTGAATCAACAGAAATGTTATACAGAAGAATGCTGAGAATACCATGAATTGAATATGTGAGCTATGTTGATGTTTTAGAGAAAATGGAAAACAAAACAGAGATAGTTGAATTTTTAGGGCACATGAGTGAAGAGGGCTTGGAAAATTTGATACTCACAAGGCATATTTGAAGCAAGAGAGACAGGAAAACAATTCATAACCTACATAGCAAGCTTGAGTAAATGGATGCCAGAGTAAGGTTTAGGAGAGATAACAAAAAGAAAATTTCTTAAGAAATTGTGTAGAACCATGATTGCCAATGTCCTGAAGGGACATGGCACATAAAAGAAATGGTCATGGCATTTTTACTCATCGTTATTTGAGTTTAGTTATCTTCATGAAAATGTAATGCAATAAAATAGTCAAAGAATGCAAAATATATCATCAAAATCTGGACTTGACAAAAGAATCTGTTTCTTCTTCTTTATGTGCTGTGTACCTCCAGGATGTAGGTGGTTATGACTCTCCACAATTTCCTGTCCTTTGTAGATCTTAATAAATTTTGTCTTTTTGTTATTTCTCCTAAAATCTGTTCTGCCATCCATTTACTTAAGCTCATCAAGTATGTTAAGCACTGCTTTCCACTGTCCCTCAATCTGTCCTGTGAGTATCAGATTTTCCAAGCCATCCTTCCTCATTATGTGCTCCAGAAATTTCAACTGTTTTTCCTGATGTTGCATATAAATTTCCTTTCAGCCTAGTTTTTCTGTTTATTGATATTTACTAAACTAAGCTTAGCCTGGAATAAGAGTAGGCGCCTAGTGAGGACTGAACATGTTACTGTAAATCATTCTTTCATGGCACGGTAACCTTTTTCTAATTCTTATATACTAGCTCTGTAATAATTCTTTGATTTCAAATTGTTTTCCTATTTTAATCTAGTTTTATTTCTAGTGAGTTACTTTCTGTCATCAACATTCCTTATTAAATGTAAAGCACTTGAGAAAACATATGGCATAAATATAAAAAAAAATCTTCACTCAAAGGTTCAAGTTGGTGCAGATATTTACAATATTTACATTTATGTGTTTCTATTTATGTACTTTATTAAGGTATTTTTTTAAATCCCTAATAATAAAGATAGAATTTGTCTATTCATATTCTATGTATAATTTTATCATTGCTAAACAGACTCCTCACATTAAAGTCTGATAAACCATTGCCAAGAAAATTGATAAGCTTCAATGAGATAGAATGAAAACTACAAAGAAATGGTTCCAGATGACAAATGATTTATAGGTAAATTACATTGAACCTCTTACAGTTATTTAATTACTTAAGAAGTTTTAAGCTCAATTAATAATTCAGATGACAAAACACTTTGTGCAAGAGAATGTAATGTATTTAGAAGAGTAAGAAATTACTGAAAGAAAATTGAACAGATATTGTTGTAGAAGATTAAACGATTTAAGAGATATGGGGAAAAACTGTTTCAATAACATGTACTATTAGAGAAAAATAAAAATGGCAACAAAAAAGATTTCAAATACTCAGTATTATCTATGCAGTTCTTTTCAATACAATTTTTTTTTAACCCTATCTGTTTAGTTTACTGAAGCCATGTTTTTTTTCTAAAAGCTACAGAGCAGAATGTTTCAAATTTAAAACGATTTGAAAGATACAGGTGAAAAAAAGACAATCTAGTACTCACAAAAATAATAAAACCAATAAAAAATTGTATAATCTTAAGGCATTATAATGAACTTTTGCTCGTTTGAGTTAAGGAGTGGGAAAAAAAAAGCAAAATGAGTTGAGTTTGGTGTAAACTGCATTATATTTCTCTTGATTTTTGTACATAGTCATATAACTTTTTTAAAAGTATCCTTTGATGTCCAATGTAGCAAGGAAGACAATTTCAACATCAATATAAAAACAGCTGAAAAGATAAGAGGCTTAAGTGAATATTTTGCTTCAAGCAAGGGTTTAGAATCTATACTAAGCTACTGAGTTCTTTTTACACACTTTTCTGTTAAATATTTTTTTCTTTTAGAGAGTACTATTTTAAAGCTAATTAACTAGGCAAATACTGAGTAATCAACTAAACTTGTAAAAGATATATATATATATATATATATATATATATATATATATATATATATAATTAATACATTTTTATGTCTTTTTGAAAATTCATGATGTCTAACATTTATTTCAAGAATTATTATATAGTAACATGCACTACTCAAACTGTCAAATATGAAGATTTTATTCACATTCAATTAAAACTGAGAAATAATTGAATGTCTTTTGTAGGTTAAAAAAAAAAAAGAAATCTGAATGACTATAACAGAAGTTAATAAATATAGACTTTAAAATTCAAATAGAATCTATTCTGCAAATCCTACAGTCCTTTAGTATCTTTAGCATTTAATGATATTACTCTGTTAAAGGCTTGAAATAAATGTTATTTATGCATCTTCTCTGAAAGAATCGAAAGACATTCTTTTATTGAAACCTTTTCATGTTTTAATCTGGGATACATTTGATGATAGTCCCAATAATATCTGTTTTTAATTTTAGTTACACAGACAAAAAGAAAACTAATGGTGTAAGCTGCTTCTTTATTTTGGATGTTGTTTGTAAAAAAAACAAAAAACACAATCTGTAAATCTAAGGGTGTAACAGCAAAGGTGACCTAGATTTTGATAGGTAGGACAGAACTGTTTCTAGATGCATCCTCACTCTCATGAGTCCCAGCAGGAGCTGGTGGGTAATCATCATGAACATCATCATCAATATTGGCCTGCAGGCTTTCTGTTCAATGTGTGTAGCAACAAATTATATGGAAGATTGTATATATAAAAGCAAGACACACCCACTCATTATAATATAATTAAACTAAAATCAGTAAGAAATTAATATTTATTGAATAAAACTTTATCTATTATAATAAGAATTCTATCAGAATTTTGTAATTTAATTTGTACATTTTAGTAGTGTGTCTAAATCAATAATAACAAAGAAATTAAAATAGTAAATATATATATAAACTTTTGTATTTTATTTTTAAAAAAAAAAAAAAAGCAAAAACAGTTAAAACTTAATAGTTAATCAAGAGTGACTCAGGCAGACAGTATCATAATCAAAATATAGAAACACTCAGTTTATTTTATATTTTTTTTTTTTGTTAATCAATTCACCCCAAGCAAGTTGATAATGACACTAAGATGCAAGGGTGCTACTGTGAGTGAAATAGAACAAAAAGACCTTAGAAGGAACCAAAAAAACAATCCTGAACAGGAAACAATGGATAAACCTCTACTCCTGTTCAAAACACCAGGGAGGAGTGTGGTTAAAAAGTATCCAGGAAACATTTACATCAGTTTTATGTATATTTTTTAACTTGTGCTGGTATCTTAATGTCCAGTAAGCTGTAAGAAGAAAAATTGAACTTACTCCTTCAAACCAGTTTTTTGCTTAATATTTAGGTATCATTTTATTGTTCTTTTTACTCTGTTGAAAATCATTTCAATTAGTTTCCTCATTATTCATATATTAGTAACTCATTTATTTCCTAGTTATAAAAACTGCTGTGTTATTGAGAATGATGCAGGTAGCTTGTGCAATGATGTACATCATCATAGCAACTAACGAAAATAAATACAAGACTTAATCTCTCATTTCAACTCCTGATTTTGCCAGTTATTGTTGGCCAGTGGGTGAGAGCAGCCCAGGGCACCTCATCCAAAACATTTGTGATATTTGACAAAACACTTTGCCCTTCTCCTCTCTAGGGTAAGGTGTTTATCTTATGTTGATACAATTCAGTAGAGATTTTTATCATTTTACCTTTTGTGCTTTGGAGCTTTTGTAGAATATAGATGAACTAAATGAATTTTGGAATCTGTATTGTGAGAGTATTCTGTGAGGGTCAAGCTCACTCACAGGGGTGGTGAGAGCCATACACAAGCCACTGTGTATATGACTGCTTTAGCTTGTAGTATATAGTGGCTTAATAAACTGCAGCTTCAATAAGAACTTTCTTGTCTTAGTTTGGGCAGAGAATGGAGACCCTGAATCTTTAATATCTGTAGGAAAACTTTACAGTAAAAAAACTGAAATATGAAGTTATTTTCTACACTCAATACATTTCTTATTAGCAGAATAACAATTCATTTAGTTACACATTTTCATAATTCTGTATACAATTTATACAAAACAAAACTTTTATTTATGATTCTTCTATAACAGCAGTCTCTTAACTTCATATATTTTACACATTTTTGCAGATCAAAGAAAACAAAAAATCAATTCTATAAAAGAGTCAATAAAATTTATACAAATGAATGAGTTTTATTTGTATCTATTTTTTGTATTATGATCTATTTTCAAATCAAAATAGAAATGTGGTATTTTGGAGACACTTATTTTCTGATAACTTGGCGAAGTGTCACAGAAAATAGATATTTCCTTCAAATACTGAATTTTAACCATATAACAAAACTCGAACTTTTTTTCATGTATATTTATGAATAACATGAAATATTTTTCTCAATTTGTCTGCATGTTCTTAATCTGTCATCTGTTTTGAATGTTATCTTTTGGCAGATATCCACATTGCGCTTTGCTATAAATATGATGTGCGTTCCTGTAAATCTATCTATTAATGAACATTATGATTCAGAGGTAAGTAGTTTTCATTTCAGTAGTATATAAAAAAGTTTAATGAATAATGGAAGAAATAAATTTAATTTCTTTTTATTTCTTTTCTGTACAACCAAGTTTGATCAACAGCCTAATGATTATCTAATTATTCCTTTCATTTTGTATTTATTCATAAAATTATCCCTTAGGTTTTTTGATTGCCTACATGCTTATAAATAAAATAGAATATTAAATGTGTGAATATTATATATCAGGGCCAGAAGCTGTTTACTGATTTTTTTTTTTTTTTTTTTTTTTTTTTTTTTTTTCCTTCATTTTTCCCCTATTTAGTGTTTTTAAAATATTTTTTGTAGGATTTCAAAATACATTTTCAATGTAAATAATGAATATTTTATACTTTTGAAAGATATAATACCTAGTTGTTTACAGAAGTTTATTAGAGAAGCTCTTTGACTGAACGGAACATTTGAGCGTTTTGAAAGAGGCATGATATTTCTTTTTAATGCCATGTTCCTTCAAGACATAGGCAATCATGACTTTCCACCTTTTCTTTATTATCTGTAAATTGCAATGAATTCTTGGGAAAGGAAATGGAGTGGCTTACTGTGGCCTTCTCCATTGTTTGTAATTCAGAGTTTGCATTCACTTAGACTGGTTGCTATCAAAAGCTAGAGAGCCCAGCTTACCCTGTTGTTTACCCCATAGCTAGGGGGCAAAGAGATGGATCCATTCTTTTCCAAAGGGCATTTATGCAAAGGTGAATGCAACAGACAAGGTGAGATTGGAATTTGAACTTAGCTTGCTAATTCTATTGTCTGTACTGACAGTTGTTGCACCATCTATACAGTTATAGTTACTGATAGTTGCAAATTCATATTTTCTTTCTTCGTACTTTGTCTTCATTGTTTTAGGAATCTTTACAAATGAATTAAATAAGAAAACCAGTGACTGATGATATCTCAGTCTAATGACCTGCTTCCGCTTATCTAGGAGAAAATTACTCCTACCCAACATAACATGGTGCTATTAATTATTGGCCAATAACCTTGGAGTTAATGGTTTTAATTTGTAAACTCCATCTGACAACCACAGAAGCGCCAAACCATGACATCATTGTGGAACAGTAAAACAAAAAAATTTCGCCCCTTTTTCAACTCCCACAACTGACAATAAAATCATTGGATGTTGGAAACAAAAGACAGTCATCAAATAAAAAGAGCCCAAAAATAAAAAATATGTTTCTGGACGCAATGCATTATGAATTAGGGCAAACTTTTATATATTGTCGGGCGAAGTTCGTAAAAGTCACTAAGTTTGAAATACCACAATTTAGCCTAAAAGACTGTAATTTAGTATCAAAACGGGAGGGACCACAGTCAATGAGCGAAGAAAATGGCTAAAATTGCAATGGGTTACGTCCATTGCAACCTGCTCCAGTTTTTCTCACCAAATTTTCTTCCAATCACTGGTGGTCAGCTCGACAGCAGGCTTCACAGGTTTAATTTCCTAGCAGCACATTGTTCTTTTAACACCTTCTGACGTTTGCTCAACTGGCTCCACCGGTCCATCAAAAGATTTCACCAACGTAATTGCTTCTCAGAATAGAACCGATGCACACATGCTGAATCGGTAAAAGAAAAGCAGCTCTATATCAAAAAAAATCTTTATATATTGTGTTCGTAAAGTCAGCCACAATAGCCTAAACTGTAATTTATATCAGTACCATATGTCTAAAATAGGGCACCCATTCACTGCTGTGCTTCTCAGAATAAATCCTGTCAAAATTTCTAAAAGTAAGTAAAGCTTACTTAAAACACTCCATCTTGCAACTGGAAAAAGATTCTTTCTGATGAGGGGTAGAAAATGGTAGGTTGCTGCTAATGGAATTTAGTTGAGTCATCTAACCACCTACTCTGTATTACCACTGGTGTTGACTGTTTTACTCTTTTACTTTACTCATTTAAGATAATCTTATCAGAAACCAGAAGGTGGATGGAAGAAAGATTAATATTTAGCCTTGCAGTTTGTTTAGCTCTTGCATAACAAAATGAAAAAAGAAAACAAATTCAACTTTCTAAAAAAAAAAGAAAAAGAAATTTTGAAATTTTTAATCCAGACATTACAGTCAGTATTATTAGTTATACTGTATTGCTTTTCAACATACAATATCTTCTATCCATTGTACAATATAAAGAAACTAATAATTCAAGGATGTTGATGTCTTGTTATGGATGTTTTAATTTTGTCACTTACTCTCATCATTCAATCTAATAAAACTTTAACTTTTAAAGAATATTAACCCAAGAGATAAAAAGATATATGATCTCTTTTGATATGACGTGAAGGTTATGTGAAATTTCAGTTAAGCTAAGTTCTGAATGAAGCTATAAAAAAAATCCATACACTTACACAAAAAAATATGTAAGTGTTTTTGTCATTTTATTTCTTTTATTCCTAACAAGTGCATCAATAGAGAAAACAGTAAAATTATTTTGCTGTTTGTAATAGAATTTTTTTATTGACAATTCATAATCTTTTTGAAAAGTTCTTGGTTTACATTCCAAAATCTGACAACATCAAGATTTTAAAATAAATTTGGTATTCATGGAACATCGGGCCCACAAAAAAAATATGTGAGAAGGATGGTTTTGCCATTGACACAGCTATTATTTTAACTGTCAACTCCATTGGCAATTTTTATTTACAAGATTTAAAAAAAAATGATGTCAAAATTCTAATCATCACTTTTTAAAACAACAAACATTCCCAAGTGAGTGAAGTGAGTTGGCAATTAGTTAATGTTTTAGAACTTATTGTAACTGGTTTATATATTTTGCTAATTTTTTAATAAAACGATTTCTTTTCACATTTATTTCTTTATAAAAGGTAAATAATTTTTTATAATTTTTAAATAAACATTGCTGAGGAAGTGAACATAGTTAAAATAATAGTGGTGCCAATGGAAAAATCATCCTTTTGAAACATCTTTTCTTTTTTTTTTTCTTTTTTTTTTGTGGACACAAAGGTCCATATTTGCCAAAAATTCCTTAGATATGAAGAGCTACTGAAAAGTTCTTGGCCTGACCAAGAAAAGATTAAAATAAATCTGATGTTTGATCTTTAGTTTTGAAAAGTGGGTTGATCTGAGAACATATCAGCACCCTTCATAAAAATTAACACAATTATTGTAATTAGATATTACAATTACAAGCTTTTAAGTTACAGAAAGAAAGTAACATAAAATAAACTTTTTGTAGGATCGGGTTAGGAAATATCAGTTAATAAATCAACAGTAACTACACAACCATGATAAATAATTTGACCAGTATATATTCTGTACTGAATAAGATAGATTTAGTTTTGAGTGCAAATCTTAGGAGAAATGAGATATCTTGTATTTGGTTTTGTGTAAAAATATTTACACAGAATGAAAAATTTTTTCCAGAATTAGTTATCTGCCAAAAAACAAGTAGGATGTCTTTTTGTGTTTTAAGCAGTGTATTTTGATAAGATATGTAAATTTCTCATACTGTATTCTTAAATTGAACAGAAAAATGTCTATCAATTCTATCAGCAACAACAGTGGAAATTTTACTGATGATAATCTATTATAAGAAAAAAGTGATACGAAGTCTGGTGTCAAGCATCATTTCAATAATAACAGCTCATGCCATGTTTTCCCAATTATAAAATAAAATATATTTGTGTTAATACATGCAGAAGTAATTTTAACAAATCCCTGACATTTTATTGTCAATAACTACATCTTTGATTGGGAAAAACTCTTTTGTGATCTAAGTTGATATACTGTTATTATATAAGAGGAACATTTAATAATTATTTTATGATATTTAAATTGCTGTAACCATCTGTCTAAGTTTTTAAAATGAGATAAGTTATAGTTTTACTGATACTCTGGGAATCCGTTATTTAGCCAGTATATTTATTGTATGTTTTCTCATTACAAACAAAAGTTTTTACATGCTTTTCATGGTAGCAAAAAATATAGTGTATGAAATATTAATTTGTATTGATTCAAAGCTGTAAATAAGTTGACAATACTGGCTGCTGCTTTTACCTAATCATTTAAATAAAACCTGGTTTGGCTATAACATTACAAAATTTATTAAGAGAAAAATACTTTAATTTTAAAATTAGAACATTTGAGAATTGCAGTTTCATAAGTGCTGAAATGTTGCCTAAAAGTTGGTATGTTTTTACATTGTGTTGAGAAAACATACATTGGAAAAACTTTGCATTTTACATAACAAAAATATATTTTTGCATATTTTATACTGGTTATTTTTAATTGTGCTATTGGATAAAAACCAATGTTCTAATCTTGGGTGACATAAATGAAGACGATTCATGTACAGTTATCAATCAGGCTTGTAAAACTGAGAATAAGATTAATGATCATTTTGTTCAAAAGAAAACCCCTTCAAGCCTAAAAAATAAAACTTACATATTTTATTAATTTGATTATATTTGAATAAGCAAGAATTATTACAATTTACATTATCTATAAAAATGCTTCATTTTATGACAATATTGTCATATTTATAAAAACTGATAAGACAAACTACAAAGCATTATAAGACAATATGGCTAATGGTTAACATAGATTTCCAAGAAAACTCAATAGATCATAAATATCTTGTGGGTAATGCTAGTCTTCTGTAAGTGAAAATATTATAGTCCTTGGCTTGTAGCTTTCTTTGAAAACAGGTTGGTGGTTGATCTAGTTATATATATATATATATATATATATATAATGAAGGTTGAAGAATTGTTCACAGACACAAAGAAGTTCTGATGTTTGAATAAATTTGCAATAAAGATATTTAGTACATAAAAGTATTAACAATTGATTTCTCTGCTGAAATATAAAAAGGATTTCATTATATAGATTTTATTTTTGCAATAATGCAATTGTATTGCTTCATCCACTTTTTAAAAAAATATATTTGATCAATTTTTGTTAATCATTGACTGGTTTGTAAAATCCTGTTTTGACCGTT